CGCTCACTGGGCGGTCCCGGGACGCCTCAAGACGCTTCCAGAGAGCCCCCCGGTGTAAGAGGCGGCCCAAGGTAACCGAGACGCCTCCAGACGGTGTAAGAGGTCGCCAACATGGCCTTCAGATGGCCAGCAGGGCCCCAAGACGGCCCAAAAGGGCTCCAAGAGGCACCCGAAGAAGCCTTCCAAGAAGGCCCCGAGAGGCCAAAATCTTTGATTTCCTTTCTGGTTGTTCATTGGTGTTTGCGGTTTCCCTTTTTCGGGCTTCAGACGCTCCAAGACTGCCCAAGAGCCACCCAAGATCGCCCCACCACGGCCCAACATGTTCCCAAGAGGGCTCCCAGACGGCCCAAAAGGTTTGGATACGGCGCGAGAGGCGCTCGAGGCGGCCCAACAGTGCCTCAAGAGGGGGATCCAAAGAACAGAGATGTTGCGCCCTCCGCCCCAGGAGTATCCCGGAGACCGCCGGTAGGCCTCCAAGGCGCCCCGCAGAAGCCCAGGAGGTCTCCAAGAGGCCCAAAGTAGGCCACCAAGAGGGCCCAGAGCGGCCCCAGGACACCCCAAGAACCGCCTCGGAGAGGCTTCCGAGGGAGTAGCCGCCAGAGAGCACCGTGACCGCGCCAGCCACCCACGGGAGCCCTATGCGCGACCAGAGGTTCGGCCACGCGCGGCCACCGAGGCGTGCGTGTGCAGGCCTCCTCTCGTGCCTTCCTTCTCGCCCCTTGCTCCTCGCTCCACGCTCCTGGCTCCCCGTTCCTCGCCTCCCTCTCCCTCGCTCCCTCCTCTCGCTCCTCCTCGCTGCTTCCAGGTCTCCTGGCCCCTCGTTCTCCCCTCCCTGGCTACGTGCGTCTGGCCCCCCCCCCTGGCCGCTCGCTCTCCTCGGCCGTCGCCTCTCCCTTCTCGATCCTTGCTCCTCGCGGGTTGCGCCTCGCTTCCCCGTACCTCCCGTCTCGACCCCGATGCCTCGCTCCTTGCTCCTCGCTCCACTCACGAGCTGCAGGTCGCGCCAGATGGCAAGGATGCGAAGAGGCAGCGGTCTGCCGCCTCGAGCAGCAACCGCGACACACCAGCCGTCCGCGGCAGGCAGCGGCAGCACGGCAAAAGTAAGCAGCAACAGCACGTCGCAGGCAGCAGCACCCTGCAGCTGCAGCATCAGAGGCGAAGTTTGGGCCCAACGTCATCACGAACGTCTGTTGGTAACATCTCTGCCTCTGCCCAACGCACAATCTGGGACAGACTTCCGTGGTCGGTAGGCCACGGGTTAGTCCTAGTCAGCTACAGCGCTGGGATCAGCGCGTGTGAGAAAGGCGCACAGTTGCACCAGGGTCTGCCGCTGTTCAACCAGATGTGGGAAACGACGCGGCGAGGATGGAGTTTAGTATCGCCGCTTCAGAGAAGAGCAAGCGAGCAGTTGCAATGCGATTCCTCGCCGCTCGGCAAGTTGTAGCCCCACAGAGCAAGCTGGTACGATGCGATTATCGGCGTGTGCGGGAAAGGCTAGCAGCGGCAGTAGGTTTTGTCGCGTCTCAGCGGGATATCGTAGGCAAAGATGGAGCCGAACGCCGTCATTAGCACTAGAAGCCTGGAGCTTGCTCGTGCGAGGGAACTGCCGATGGGTCATCATCCCACGGGTCACCAGGTGACGTCCCGAAGCCACGGTCGACGTGTGCCTCGGAGGGCCAGACGCCGATCATCCGGATGTTGCGCTTGAGAAACCATGGGACCAGATTTGCTCATGTCTCGTGAACCAGGCATGTCCAGCGTTGCGCCCGTCGCGCTGAGGAGCAGCACTGCCCCCGAGAGCTGGCACGCCCGCCCTGCAGCGGCTCGTCTCCTGCGTGGCCGCGGCACGGCCTCGCGGTGCTCTTTTTAGGCCGGCGGGCTCGCGGTGCTGGCGCCCTCCCTCGCCACTGCAGGCTGCCCTGGACGTGGGCTTCCCGCGCAGAGCAGGCGGCAGAGACTCGGGGGCGGCCAAGAGGGGGGTGCTGCATAGGGGGGGGATCTCAGGGCGTGGGCCCTGATATTTCATCAGATGCCATGGCGCCTCTTCTTATCTCGATGCGTCCCCGCCCCCGCCCCCCTCCCTTGGGCCGCGCACGTGTCGGCGGCCATGATTTGTGCCCCCCCTCCCCCCCTCTTGGGGCCGCCCCCGGGATGTGCATGCCCGCGGAGTTCTTCTGACGTGCGTCTGATACGCATGCCCGCGGAGTGCTTCTGAATGTGCGTCTCGCGCGGCACGCGGGGCGCCCCGAGCAGGCCCGTGTTTTTCGTCTTTCGATGCCTTCGCTCTGGTGCCTCGTCCCCGGGGACGGCGTGGCGCCGGGAATCGGAAGCACGACCCCGGGCTTCCGAGGGTTCCAGGACCCCCCGCGCCTCGCACAGCCCCACCGCCAGCCCTTTCCAGAAAGGATGCCCAGGCGAGTTGCCCTGATCAGGCATGCGGGGGGGCATGCAGTGGACGAAAGTCTGGGAAGCAGTCATACCCCAAGGGGGGAGGATGGAGGACGAAGCAGAGGAGGAGGAGGAGGAGGAGGAGGAGGAGGAGAAGGAGGAGAAGGAGGAGAAGGAGGAGGAGAGAGAGAGAGAGAGGATGAGCTGGAGGGGGAAGGTGGAAGGAAGGATTAGTATTAGGCGGACGAGGAAGAGGAAGAAAAGGGCGAACAGAAAGGCCAGAGACATCTTGATTGTTTCTAGGAGTCACTTCGGATGTCTCTCGGGAGCTTCTTGTAGGCCTGTTGGGGCGTCTTGGGGGCATGTGGCCAAAACCTTGGTTGTCAAATTAATGATTTTGGTTTTCTCGAGGAAGCCAAACAAATACCTTCTGACAGCTGCGAAACGCCCCGTCCAGGTCCAGGGGGAGGGAGTAGGGGGAGTGCCAAGCTACGCACCCGCCCGCAAGCCGTCTAGCTCACTCCCACCCGCCCTCCCAGCACAGAAGTAACACCCGAGCCTGAGCATGTTCAGCGGTCGTCTTTGGATGAAGAGCTACTGGGAACCAAAGCCTACCCCAGGTGCGCGACGATGGGCGAGGTGCGCCACGCGTGCCAGGGGCGCATATGCGCGCCAGGCCCCCTGGGGCCCGAGCGTGCCAGGCACGCCTGGAGCGCCAGATGCGCCACGTGCTCCGAGTGCGCCAGGTGTGCCGCACACTCCAGCCGCGCCAGGTGCGCACGTGACAGCACACATCGGGAGACATGTCCGGCCCTGCCACCCTTATCGAAAACCAGTGCCCATCGTTGTGCCTGGTGGGGCTGCGCACCGCAGGCCTCGCGCCACCACCCCCGCCATCCCTGCCTATCAAAAAATACTTGACAGTAATCGCGGGATGGCCGCGCATGATCCAGATTTAGCCGCGAGGTGCATGTTGTATTGTGTATGTGTCAGGGATGGTAGCCCTGCGCACAGCAGGGAATATGCTGTCACCCCCGCCGTCCCTGTCAAAAACAATACAAAAGTGCTCGCGGGCCTCACGAACATGACTCAAGACTTTACCGCTTCACCCCAAAGTGTACTTTGCATTGTTTTTTGACAGGGATGGTGCGGGGAGCCGCATCGGGTTGGCCGCGCATGCTCCAAATGTGGAGGCAGAGTGCGGCTTGTATTGTTTTCTGACAGGGATGATGGGGGGCGGGCCCACATGGAGTCGGCAGGGTTCCGGGTTGGCCGCCGGCCGGGTGGGGGAGGGGGTGTATATCAATAAGGAACAGTGGTTAAGCCCGCGATGAGTTCAGATCCCAAAATGGAAGGTTCAGGTCCCAACAAGTGAGAAAACAGCACCGGTTCAGATCCCAGCCGCCGGACAAACAACGTTGTTCAAAGTGGTTCTCGGATGATCACGTTGGCGACGGAAACCGACCGGTACCCCACAAGGGAACACACTCGGTGCTCCTAGTGCGCAGTTGGGGTCTAGACCACTTAGTCTAGATTTGGTGTGGTGAGAATTTGTGATAGATCTCATGTGGTGATAATGGAGGATGGCGATTAATCAATGACCGGGGGCCGTGTTCACGCGGCGGCGCCCGGGATGACGATTAGACATAACCGGCCGCGGGCTGGAAAACTATTTGTTTTAATCGTTCTCCTCCAGTCCGCAAGTTGTGCAGAAATAGCAGGAAACTATGTCTTTAATCGTTCCCTCCCCTTTTTTATGAACCGTCACCCCGCAGTAACTCCTTGTCTCTCCGCCGCCGCGGCCTCGCGGGTAACTATGGTGTGCGGACGCGCGCGGGGGCCCCGCGCGGAGCGCAGCCACGGGACCGTGGGATCGCGCCTCGGTGCCCAGGCCCAGAGGGCACGGAGGCGGGATCGCCCGTCGCCCGTGGGCCGTTCTCCGCGGCGTCGCCGGCGGAGCTCGTGGTCTGACTTCGGGCTTCGAGCAGCGCTGGTCCGCGCAGAGACCGAGAGCTCCTGCGCTCCTCGAGCCGAGCGAGGGGGTCGCTCCCGACGGTTCGGAGGCAGGGCGAGGCAAAGGGCACGGAGGGGAGGAGGGGGACGACGAGGAGGCGCCACAGGAAGCAGAGGACGGGGATGAGCTGGAGCATGATGAGGGCCAGGATTCAGGTTGTGAAGCGTCCTGGCCGAGTTGGGCGGACATCGGTGGGAGAGGGGGCGTGGGATAAAGTGAGCCCTTCCGCGCTCCCGCGCGCAGACTGGCGTCGAGGTCTCTGCGTCGTGGTCGCCGGCCTCGCCCGCTCGCGCTCACCGTAGGGAAGGTAAGTACGGTAGGTTTGCGTCGTGTCGACCAGCGGCGACCCCAGCGCGGGCGTTCAAGGTTGAACGCCGCCGGCGACCCAGAATCGATCGACGTTGAACGATCGGACGTTGCGGCAGCGGCCGATCGTTCAAGGTTGAACGATCCCTGCGGTGTCAAAAACCAACGCTGGGGTCGGCACGACACGAACCTGCCGTATCGGGGCCAGGCCCTACGTCGCTTGAAGATTTGGGCATTCAGTGCAGGGTCGTGGTGGTTTTGGTTTGCGCATGGCTGCAATCTCTCAGACAAGGTGCAGCACCCGGTGGAAGCACCTCTTCAAGTACACCACCATCCCCGTGGTGTCGCTTTGCTTCACGTGGTGGCACGTCTGGCTGGGCATCAAAATGCCCTGCGCCTTAGATTCGCTGTGTCGATCCTGACTGGGTTTCTCCGCTGCCTGGGCCTCCAACCCTTTTCTCCTCTTGTTCCCTGTCCTCATCATTGCCGTCCCTCTCCTCGTCACCCCTCCCTCCACAGCATCCCGCCGTCCATCTGCTTCTGCTCCTCGTCTGTCCCCCTCCTGCAACCGCTGTTCTCCTCGGCCGGCGCTTGCCCGGACAAGGCTGCGCATTTATTCTTGAACATCAAATATGGAGTTTTGATTCGCGCGGCCAGGAGGAGAAGGAGGAGGAGGAGGAGGAGGAGGAGGAGGACGAGGAGGAGGAGGAGGAGGAGGTTCAGCGGGGACCGGTTCCTGACCCCATCTTGGACTCCGTGTTCGTCCTCCCCTCTCCTGCATTTGTGCTCTGGGCTCCCTTCCCTCGGCGGTCCCCACGTTGCTGCGCGGGTGCCGCACGCAGCCCGCGGCCAATGGCGTGTTGTTCCGCTCGGCGAGGGCGCCGCCCATTCCCGCGGCGGGCTCCGAGCTCTTCTGTTCCGTATCGGGCGCGCAGACATTGGGCCGTCGTTCGGGGCCCAGGCTGCCCTGGAGGCCTGAAGAGAGGCACGGGATACTTCTTCAAGAAGTCCCCAGGGGGGTCTCCGCGGTATCGTGCCAAGCCGAGTTCGTGTGATATCGTCGGTGGCCCTTCACAAGGCACCTTGGGGGGGCTTCTGAGGGCTCTCTCGGGGGGTCCCGAGGAGGCCGCCGGCGGTGGAGAAAGAGCCCCAGAGGGCCCCGAGAGAGCTTCGAGGTGCCCTCCCAAAGAGGTAACTACTTTTGTGTGAACAGCACATTGGGTGTCTCTCTTTTACGCCTTCTGGGAGCCATCTTCGGGCTCTCCTGGGATCTCTCGCAGCTGTCTACGGGCATCCATCGGGCCCTCTCGTGGCTGTCCGCAGCCCTCTCGGGGGCTGGTGCAGGTTCTGCCGGGCCTGCGCGGGGCTCTCTCAGGACTCTTGCGGTCTCGTTCAGGGGCAGGTGCGCGCGACCCGTTGTGTTTCTTCTGCGGGGGGGGGAGGTGGTCGAAGGATCAGATTTGGGCGACCAGGGGGCTGGGGGGGCAGGCCCTTCTTAGCGGATGGGGGCGTCAGGGGCTGGCGCCGCAGAGCAAAGGACAGAGGGCAGGTCAAGAAGGAGGAGAGGGGGATTCTGAATGCGAGGGAAGGAGGGGTGTAGAACCACGGCCGAGGAGGTATGTCCGAGCACGGAGGGAGAAGAGGATGTAGGGCGCCGCGAACACGCCAAGGAAGAATACGCGGAGAGGAGGACGGAAGAGGGGCAAGGAACAATGACTTGCGGGGGGGGTGGGAATGAGGAGCAAGAGAATGAAGAAGAGTTGGAGGAGGGCACCAGGGGCATGAGAAGTCGGGCAGAGGAAGAAGATGGCGAGGTGGAGGAGGAGGAGGAAGGAGGAGTGAATCCTTGCGGGCTGTCCTGTCCCGGAAGGAGGGGCCTTCGTGTTTTGCCGGGCGAGTAGAACCAATTAGCTAGCAATTGCGCTGGACTGGAGGGTCTCATAGCTACTCTTTGTATCGGTTTCAATGTTTCAGGCCGTCGCCACGCTAGAGAGACAATGCTATCGAGTTGCGCAAACAGAGAAGGCACCTCTGACTAAAGAGCACGTTCGCGACCGACCTCGCAAACTTTCGGCGGGATCGGGGGCGGCCCGAGGAGGTCGGAAAGGTGACCTGCGTGCACGAATCTGTTCGCGGCGCGATCATCGCGGTGCTTCTGGTGCTGCTTTAGGGGTGGTGGTCTCCAGGGCCGCGCCTCCCCAGACGGGCCAGGCCCTGTCTCGCTGGACGGCGCCCTGTCCAAACCCTCGGGGGCGGCAAAGAGGGGGGTGATGACTAGGGAGGGGGTATTTCATGGCGTGGGCCATGATATTCCCCAGATTTCATGGCGCCTCTTCTTATTTCATTACGTCCCTGGTCCCCCCGCTGGGCCGCGCACATGCCGCCGGTCATGATTTGCACCCGCCCCTCTTGGACATCCCCCTCTTGGCCGCTCCCGAAACCCTCCCACGATCGCCTCCAGCATAGACGTCTGTCTGGTCAAGGGGCTGATGATGTCGATGCTACATGCGGCGCCATTGTCGCGTCGGGTGCAACACCATTTCGCTGGGGCCGCTCCGCGACGTCACGTCAGGGGCAATGGGCGTGTTTTCTGTCCAGAGGGTTTTTTGCCTCCTTTGGGGGCCTTGCTGGCCGTGGGGCTCCTGAAGGTCAAGAGGCAAGCGGTTTGCGCGAGAAGGGATGGGGGGTGGGGAGAGGGATAGGTCTAGGGAGCGCGCGAGAGGACTAAAAGTATATGGCAGCAGCGGTCGAGGTGCATCGGTTGTGGGTTGCGGATTAGGGCTAGACAGAAGAGAAAGAGCGCGTTCTGTGGTCGCTTGGAGGGGGGGGGGGGGAACTGGACCCCCCCCCGCTTGATGGACGGGGTGGGGTTCGAACCCCCCCCCACCCATGACGGAGGGGGGGGGGGTTCGATTCCCCCCCCTGCCCCTACTTCTCCTCTCTCCCTCTCCTCGGGCCGAAGCCTCCTGCGTCGGCGGCGGCTGGTGGCGGCGGCGGGGACGGCGATTTCCTTTTCTGGGCCGGCACCGGCGCTTGCGGCGGCGGGCGGCGGCGGTGGGGAGCGTCGACGAGGACAACGGTGGTGGTGGTGGTGGTGGGTTGTGGTGGTCGTGGTGGCGGCGGTGGTGGTGGTGGTGTGGTGGTTTGTTGTGGTGGTGGTGGTGGTTGTGGTGGTTGCGGTGGTGGGTGGTGGTGGTGGTGGTGGTTTGGTGGTGGTGTGGTGGTGGTTTGTGGTGGTGGTGGTGGTGGGTTGTGTTGGTGGTGCTGGTGGTTTGGTGGTGGTGGGTTTGTGGTGGTGGTGGGTTTGTGGTGGTGGCGGTGGTTTGTGGAGGTGGTGCTGGTGGTGGTGGTGGTGGCGGCGGTGGTGGTGGTGGTGGTGTGGTGGTTTGTGGTGGTGGTGGTGGGTTGTGGTGCTGGAAGTGGTGGTGGTTGTGGCGGTGGTGGTGGTGTGGTAGATTGTGGTGGTGGTGGTAGTGGTGGTGGGTTTTTGTGGTGGTGGTGGTGACGGTGAATTGTGGTGGTGGGGGTTGAGGTGGTGGTGGTGGTGGCTGTGGTGGTGGTGGTGGTTGTGTGGTGGGTTGGTGGTGGCGGTGGTGGGTTGAGGCGGTGGTGGTGGTGGTAATGGTGGAGGTGGTGATAGCGGTGGTGATCGTCGCTGCGTCCCCGCCGTCGCCGGCGCCAGCGCCAGCGCTGCTGGCCGCCGCCAGCGCCGGCGCCGGCGCTGGCGCCAGGAGGGGGGGTTTGAACCCCCTTTTTCCCCTCGTGGGCTGCCTCTGGTCATCGTCGCTGCGTCCCCGCCGTCGGCGCTGCTGGCGGCCGCCAGCGCCGGCGCCGGCGCCGGCGCCGAGGGGGGGGGGTGGTACCCCCCCCCCCTTCTTTGGGAAGGGGGGGGGCGGGGTTCGGGAGCGGGCGGGTTTGGGGGGGAGGGGAGTCCCCCTGGTTTCTGGTTTTGATCAGCGGCGCTGGGTGTTGGTGGGGGGGCCCACCCCCCAGTTCGAAACGCGCCGCCGAATGTTTCCAGGGCAAGCACCCGTGAAACGCGCTCTCTCTCTCTCTCTCTCTGTCTCTCTCTCTCTCTCTCTCTCTCTCTCTCTCATATCAAAGAGTCCATCTCTACGAGCAGGCCAGTGGGTAGTTTTTGTTGTTTTCTTGTCTTATTGCCCGTTATCCTGCTCCCCGTCGTTGTGGCGACCCTGGCCATCTCTTCCTCTATTTCCCCGCGCGTGTTTGACGTGACCCTTTTTCACAGTGGTGCTCCACTGGCAATGGAAGAGGAACAAGGCGAAGCAGGAGGGTAGCGCGAGGGGCAGATTGATTTACGCGATCGACTACACCCACGAGATGGGGCCGGCGCTCATCGCCCTGGTGGACGAGATGCTGAAGTGCTTCGGCGCCGTCCGCCGCATTGGCCCAGCCCCGCGGGGCCCGCTGGAGCGGGACGCAGCGAAGCTATTGGCGGGGCTCAGCGGCAAGTAGGACAAGGAGTAGGTAGCAATAGCAGCAGCATGCAACCGTTCCGCCGTGAATCCTCGGATCTGCGGGGTGTCAGGAACGTGGAGAGCCTTCGCGGGAGTTCGAGGCTGGCGGAATTAATTCGGCGACGCGTGGTGCCCCCTGAAGTTTTGGATTTTCGGCCCCCTCCCGCCCCCACCGCCTATAGCCCAGGAGTTTCCACCACCGCCGCGATTTTGAGGGAGGGGAGCTCTTCTAGGCAAAAAGACACGGGGAAGGGAAAGAAAGGGAAAGGTCGGTAGCAACCCTTTGGTCCCTAAGGCGGGCCCTCCGTAGGCTGCGTGCTGAATAGGGGGTGTTTGCTGGGGCGGTGCGGCGTCCGTCGTGAGCCACGGGCCGCACGTTCAAGGCTTAAATATAGTTTCGTCCCCTAGAGTTCCCCTGCATTTTGAAGATAGGTTGCTGCTCGCAGGCGCCAGGCTGACTTCAGAGTCGAACTCCAACGGGCCCAATCCCGATCCCGATCCCAGCTTGTCGCCCTCGCGAGCGCCCCTTGCATTCGGGTTGCGCAAACAAGGCGCACAACGCTTCGGTGAGATCGCACTACGAGGGCAACTACGCCCGCTGAGGGCGACAAGCCGCTTTGGGCCGTTGGGTCAGGCGCGCGGGGGTCTGTCAAGGTCACGCCGCGCAATGATGCGCGCTCCCCAATGGAAGGCGTTTTCCAGTACATTCGGCGGCTTCGCGAATACATATCTCCAGTTTAAAAACGCGCGCGACGCGCGACCGACAGTCTTGCATTGGCCTTCGCGCGCCCGCGGCGCCCCGAACAGTGGCGACATTTCTTCGGGCAGTGCCGTTCCATGCAGTAGGGTTTCCCCAGGCTCACAGACGGGCCGACCATATCGATGGCCGCTGTCGCATCGGGCGACGCGTCGGGCAACTTGCGCCTGCGTCGCAGTCGCATCCAGGGCGACCTTGGTATAAACCAGGATCCCTCTGTTGTAATTATAAGTGCGTCTTCGCTGCTCCCAAAACGTCTGGACCCGTCTGGAAATCCTGGTCAGAACGCGCCCCAAACATATGTCCAGTGTCCGACGAGGAGAGAAGAGGAGGACCCAAAACGCCGAGTCTTTTGGTTGTTGGTGCAAGCGTTTTCTCCCGGCCTCCAGGCTCCCTTCTCGGGCCTTCGGACCCGCAGAAAAAAAACAACCCTGGATGGCAAACCAGGCCGGGACCGGGGGTCGAGACCCGTGGGCACCCCACTCAGGACAAACAAGTACGACTGCGATTTTTTCTGGGGGGGGGCAGTTCCTGACAAAACTGGGCGGGCCGCAGGGGCGGTGCCGGTGGCCCCGTGATTCGCGCCGCGCGGACCGGGCCAGCGAGCCGCGCTCTTCTGGAGGATTAGCGCGAGGGCGCAGGGTGAAGCGACGGAGGGTAATGCTCCTCCTCCTCCTCCTCCTCCTCCTCCTCCTCTTCCTCCTCCTCCTCCTCCTCCTCCTTCTCCTTCTCCTCCTCCTCATCATCATTAACTATCCTCTTCCTCCTTGTCCTCCCCCTCCCCCTGCTGACCTGTCGTCAGCATGTTGGAAGAGGGACCGCTCTGATTCCGGGCCGCCCGGGTGGGTCCTCAGCTCTGCCAGCAGATGTTGTAGACACTCGGGGTTATGAAATCTGCTGCATGCAGCTGGTTTCGGCCCCGCCGCCAGGCCCATTCCTCGATACATGGGCGCCCCCCGGCGCTTTCACAGCCGATGGCCCCACAGTGTCCACGACCCTTGGCATCCAAGGGGTGGGCGGCTGGCGCAAGGCAGGTGCTGGAAGGGTAAAGATCGGGGGTAAGGGTCGGTAGCTGTACACCTTGTTCATTTCCAATTATTCGAGAGTTGTGTGAATTTCTGGGGGGCCAAGATCTTTTTATTTCTAATTGTTCTATCCTGGGCCTCTTCCTGGCCACTAGGGGGCCAGGAGCACTTGGAAGCGAGCACATTTAGAAGTGAGCACGATCGGAAATGAACGACGCGTAGCGCATGGAGCTCCACCCGTGGGTCCCCCGCAGGCTGCGTGCCGAATCCAGGGGAGTTCGCAGGAGCGGTGCGGCGTCCACCGTGAGCTGCCGGCCGTGCTGGAAAGTTTGGTGGATCTGAGCTTCGCCCCCCAGGAGTCGGGGAAACGACAGACTCGAGTAAGCCGGAGCTCGGGCTTGCCGACGTGTGTTGACGAGCGCGGCCTGGATTTTGACGGTCCAGTTTTCGTCGGATGTTTGCAGCGGGAGTTGGCGTCAAGTTTCAGTTTGGGTCTCGCCGTTTTTTATGATGGCCCCGTCAGGCCAACCTGAGTCCCCCGTACCCGAGTCTTACGTCTCCCCGACAGAGCTCCCCTGCGTCACCCCCCCTAGGCAGTCATCCAGCCGGCGGTAAGCAGCAACATATGAACTACCACGAACCTGATCATGATCATGATCCTCTTAGGAAACAATGACACAAACATAACAACTCGGAGGTTTGCGCGGATTTCTCGGATCGGCGTTGGACCCCGCCTCCCTGGCACGCGGAGTGAGCCAGGGGCGGCGCCGGAGGCGTCGCCAGGGGGCCTAGCGCCGATCCGAGGAATCCGCGCGGACCTCTTAATTCCTACGTTCATGTCATTGTCTGATCCCCCACCCTCCTCCTCCCCCTCCTCCTCCTCCTCCCTCCTCCTCCTCCTCTTCCTCCTCCTCTTCCCCCCTTCCTCCTCCTCCTCCTCCTCCTCCTCCTCCTCCTCCTCCTCATCTTCCTCCCCTTCCTCCTCCTCCTCCTCTTCCTCCTCCTCCTCCTCCTCCTCCTCCCCACTCACTTGCTTACCCATCCGTCGTAGAGAATCCCCGAGGCGCAGCCACACACACGTGCACGAGGAGGCGGGGGGGGGGAGCAGGGATGCAGCGGGGCCGCCCGCCCGCCGCGGGGCCCCCGGCTGGACGGCCCGCCTGCCGGCCTGGGCCGTGCCTCTCGCCGCGCGGTGGCCACCCGGCAAACCAGGGCGGAGGTCCGGCCTTCCCCCGCTTTCTCCTCCTCCGCCTCCACCACCTCCTCCTCCTCCTCCTCCTCCTCCTCCCCTCCTCCTCCTCCTCCTCCTCCTCCTCCTCCTCCTCGCCTCCCTCTCCTCCTCCTCCTCCTCCTCCCTCCTCCTCCTCCTCCTCCTCCTCCTCCTCCCCCTCCTCCTCCTCCTCCTCCTCCTCCTCCTCCTCCTCTTTCTCCTCCTCCGCCTCCACCACCTCCTCCTCCTCCTCCTCTTCTTCCTCATCCTCCTCCTCTTCCTCATCCTCCTCCCCCCCTCCTCCTCCTCCTCCTCCTCCTCTTTCTCCTCCTCCTCCTCTTCCTCTTCCTCATCCTCCTCCTCCTCTTCCTCCCTCCTCCTCCCCCATCCTCCTCCTCCTCCTCCTCCTCCTCCTCCTCCTCTTTCTTCTCCGCCTCCACCACCTCCTCCTCCTCCTCCTCCTCCTCCTCCTCTTCCTCATCCTCCTCCTCCTCTTCCTCCTCCTCCTCCTCCTTCTCCTCATCATCCTCCTCCCCCTCCTCCTCCTCCTCTCCTCCTCCTCCCCCTCCTCCTCCTCCTCCTCCTCCTCCTCCTCCTCCTCCTCCTCCTCCTCCTCCTCCTCCTCCTCCTCCTCCCACCCCTTGCGCGCTTTCCCTTCTACACCCTCCCCGCGCAGGGGTGGGGGCAGCAACCTGATGGCCGCGGGGGTGCGAGCACCACCCCCCGTCGCCGCGGTCCCGAAGCCGATCCAGCACAGAAGAGCACCCGATGGCCAAGACAGGGGACGGCGCCTTGGTCCCCCACCCGGGTTCACGCCTGTGAGAACGTGCAAGAGTGGATGTCGGAAGGGCCTCCAGACACCTCAGCAGATCCAGGCCCAAAAATATGGTGGCCTCGGGCTTCCACGGCATATCAGCAGCATGGATGACCACAGCACTGGAACCCGCCACATGCGAAGCAGCCGTGAACATTGCCGCACACTTGGTCATGATATTCTCTTGAGCAAAATGTGCCGCCGCCCTTGGCCCAAGCCGTGGCGCACCCCACGGGTAGACAGCATTACACAATACTTGATGAGGTGAATCTGCAGCAGGGAGTCGCCACGATCCCCTGTCTGGTACAACACGCACAGCCAGAATACGCCTGACCCGCCACAGTGGAGAAGGACTTGCCACATTCATAGAGCACACATGCGACAGTTTTCTGGCCAACGGGGTCTCCTGAGGACGCAGTTGCTGCACCAACGACCACACGTGTTGAATCACCCACGCATGGCCACGCTCTTCCCTCAGGCCCCATGCGGAGCGCTGCCAGGAGACTCTGAGGGTGTGCGGCCCGTGAAACATGAGCCTCGCAAAGTTCTCTACACCGTAGGCGATGCTTAAGAAAACCCAAGTTTTCGGCCAGAGTCTCGATTATTCTTAACGTTTCAATGTAGATCCTAAGATTTGAATGGGCATTCTGGTTTTTTGTTCAAATTCTGAGACTATGAGTTTCTTAACCCATGATTTCTAAAGCATTTCGCAGGGTGTAGTCTGCGAAACCGTCGCACCTCCTGAAACTCAAAGCGTGAGACCTCCGACATCACCTGGTCATCTGTCTTCCTGGACTCGCAGGTCGGTGGGCGCAGGGACCTGGACGCAGCACGGTACCCAACCACGAGAGCATGTTGCAACTTGGACACCGCCGCCTTGGATAGCATGTCCCAACACTTCGCCTGGAAGCAAGGTTGCGTGCTGGCAAGTATCGACATACCTTGAGTTGTGCGCAACCTGAATATAATGGCGAAACGCCGCTGCACGCACGGGCCGAACCGCAGCAGCATGCTTGTTCCGCTTGCGCGCACTATCTGGGCCCTCAATACCACCGTGTGTCAGAAGCGGCCCAATATGCTTGTTGTTCTTCCCAATGAGAATCTGATCACGCACGTCAGCGTCCAACCTCATTGCAATTTTATTGACCTGTTTCCTCCAGTACTCCCATGCCCAAGGAGCAGATAACCTTGCCACGTGCAACATTCGATCTGCAACTTGATCCCGCCATCAGCTTCCGATCAATCCTGCCGACCTTGGCCGCGCGCGTGCAAGTCTAACTGGTGTGGCACAGATTGCAAGTGCCAGGGTCATCAACAAACGTAGTATCCGTGAAAGACTGCGGTGGCATATCTTGGCTGATCTTTATCGCGAAGGCCTTACGGCCGGGGCGGCCGACCCTGAAGAAGATGACCCTGACCACGAGGAGGTAGAGGAATGAGGAGGAGGAGACGCAGGAGGAGGGGGCGGAAGAAAAAGAACGAGGATGGGGAGCAGCAGGAGGGGGGGGCGGTGATGTGGAAGTGCATGGGGATGTGGAGGCCGAGGTTGAAGCTATGATGCTGATGCTTCAGCCTGTGCACAGCAGCAGGCATGCAAAGTACAGTCCTGTCTGCAGTTCGAAGCGGCCGAGCTCGACAGTGCCACGCGGGTTCGGCCGGGCGGTCGGTGCGAGACGGTCTCTTTGCCGTCTGCGCAGCCGCCTGTGGCACGGCCGCGAGGGGTCGCCCTGCGGGGCGGTGTTCGCGCGGTGGCGGGGGCGCCGCGCCCCGTTTCGATTAGGGCAGCGCCTCGTCCTCCTCCTCCTCCTCCTGTCCTCCCCCTCCTCCTCCTCCTCCTCCTCCTCCTTTTCGTTCCTCCTCCTCCTCCTCCTCCTCCTCCTCTCACCTATCCTCACCTCCTCCTCCCCTTCCCCGCTCGGGGTCCGAGAGCTCGCACCCAGGTGCTTCTACCCGGTCAACTTCATCGGTTGTTGCCCGCCCGTGTGTGGATGGCAGGATGCGGCGCCGCCCCCCTCCAGCTCTCCCTCCTATGCCTCCTCGCCCTCCTGTTCCCTTCTCCATCTTCCTCCTCACCTCGTTTTGTTGGTGGTGCGTTGTCTTTCCCTCTCTCTCTCTCTCGTTCTATCTTTCTTCCTCGCTGTGTGTGTGTGTGCGTGTGTCTCTCTCTCTCTCTCTCTCTCTCTCTCTTTCTTTTTTCCCAAACAGCTTGCTGAACGGGGTGCTGTCGTGATAGAAGCTAACTCCGGCCGAGGGAAAGCTAAGCAGAGACATCCTCACAAAAATTTGATGGTCCGGGCCGTTTCGCTTGAGACATCCTCACAACTCTCGTTTCTGAGTTGTCCGGGATTGAGCGTTTCGCCTGAGACATCCTCGAAAAGTTGCGCTCCGGGACGCCGCGCGAGAGGTGGTCCGGGCCGTTTCGCTTGAGACATCCTCGAAACTCTGAGGGTCGGAGGTGCCGTGCGAGAGGTGGTCCGGGCCGTTTCGCCTGAGACATCCTCGAAACTCTGAGCTCTGCGATGCCTTGCGCGAGGTGGTCCGGCCCGTTTCGCTGAGACATCCTCGAAACTCTGACTTCGGAGATGCCGCGCGAGAGGTGGTCCGGCCCGTTTCGCCTGAGACATCCTCGAACTTCTGAGCTCTGAGATGCACTGCGCGAGGTGGTCCGGCCCGTCTCGCCTGAGACATCCTCGCAACTCTGAGCTCTGAGATGCCGTGCGCAAGGTGGTCCGGCCTGTTTCGCACAAGACATTCTCGCAACTCTGAGCTCCCAGATGCCGCGCAAGAGGTGGTCCAGCCTGGGGGCCCAGAAGACCACATGTTACATATCCTCCCTGGGACCCTGGGAGCCCGCCTGAGACATCCTCGAACTTCTGAGCTCTGAGATGCCCTGCGCGAGGTGGTCCGGCCCGTCTCGCCTGAGACATCCTTGCAACTCTGAGCTCTGAGATGCCGTGCGCAAGGTGGTCCGGCTTGTTTCGCACAAGTCATTCTCGCAACTCTGAGCTCCCAGATGCCGCGCAAAAGGTGGTCCAGCCAGGGGGCCCAGAAGACCACATGTTACATATCCTCCCTGGGAGCCCCAGGAGGCCCCAGAGAACTCCAGAAGCCGCAGGACGCCCAGGACAGGCCCCAGGGGTCCCCAGGAGAGTCCCAGGAGGCTCCCGGGAGGCCCCAGGAGGCCCCCTATCAGAACGTGTCAAGTTAATACAAATCCGGTGTCGATTCGTTGATTCTTCCTGCTCTTGTGGCCCCCCCGCCCCATTTGGAGACGCCCAAACGGCCACAGGTTAGATATCCCCCCCTGGGAGCCCCAAGAGGCTTCAGGAAGCCCCAGGTAGGGTCCAGGAGGCCACAGGAGGCTCAGGAGGAAGCCCCAGGAGGTCACCAGGAGGCCCCAGGAGGCCCCAGGAGGCCCCCGCAACTCAGAGCTCTGAGACGCCGCGCTCGAGGTGGTCTGGCCCGTTTCGCCTGAGACTTCCTCGCAGCACGTTTCGCCCGAGACATCGTCGCAACTCTGGGGTCCGAGATGCCGCGCGCGAGGTGGTCCAGCCCGTCACGCTGGAGACATCCTCGCAACTCTGGGCTCCGAGATGCCCTGCGCGAGGTGGTCCGGCCCATCTGGCCTGGTGGTCCGGCCCGTTTCGCACAAGACCCCAGAGAGCTTCAGGAGGCCGCAGAACGCCCAGGACAGGCCCCAGGGGTCCGCAGGAGATTCCCAGGAGGCTCCCAGGAGGCCCCAGGAGGCCCCCTATCAGAACGTGTCAAGTTAATACACATCTGGTGTCGATTCGTTGATTCTTCCTGCTCTTGTGGCCCCCTCCCATTTTGGGGGGCCCGACGGCCACATGTTAGATATCCCCCCCTGGGAGCCCCAAGTCGACGGGCCAAAATCCTTCACATCAGTAATTTTGGGTCTCGGAGCCCACAGGGCGGTTTTTCATGTTTTCCATTCGACGTTCCATGAAGCCCGATGTCATTCCGAGGCCGCGCATCGAACGTTTTCGATGGCGCGTCGCGTTATGCGATGTCACGTGCGTTGGGGTCGTCAAAGGCTTGCGTGCTTGTTGCGGATCGGTTGATGTGGGCTGGGGTTTCTCAGGATTGTACATTTGCTTTGCGCTGGGGCGGTTTCGACCCCCATCCCTGGCTGATCCACCCCGCGGGTAACGTCGCAGGAAGAGTTCGATCATTTCGTTCGTAGTGCCAGCGATGCTGTCGCGGACATTGACCGCGCCACGGGGGGGGGTCGTCCAGAAATTTCCTACCATATTGCAGTGTTGGTTCTTCGTTTTGAAGAGACACCGCCCCGCGTCATTCCTTCCGGCCCCCTCCCTCGTCCTCCCTCTTCGCGTATCTGCCCCTGCTCTCCGCGTGTCTCCGTCGTCATCGTCCATCGTCATCGTCGCCATCACCATCATCATCAGCATCATCAGCATTCTCGCCGTCTCCATCATCAATACCACCACCATCCTCATCAACATCATCAAAACACCCCCCTTGTTCCCCCGCGTCTCTGCTTCGCCACATCCCCCGCAAGTCTCGTGGCCTTGTGAGGTGCTCCACCGAAGGCCCCATCGGCAGGGTCCTTAGTGCGCCGCCCAGCCCATGTCGGCACGCCCCTCAGACGCTTCGTGTCCCCATGAGGAGCTCATCGGAGGTCCCGGCGGCAAGGTCCACATGCCGTCGCCCAGGCCACATTGATGACACCCTCAAACATTTCGTGCCCCTATAGGCAGCTCCACCAAAAAAAGGTCCCAGCGGCAGGTTTCCCAGGCCGCCGCCCAGCATATTTCGGCATACGTTTCACACGCTTCGTGGCCCCACGGGGAGCTACACCGACGGCCCCACAGGCAGGGCCCACAGGCCGCCGCCCAGCCCATTCCGTCATACGCTCACAAGCTTCGTGGCCCCATTGGGGAGCACCCCCGATGGCCCAAGCGACAGGGTCCACATGCCGTCGCCCAGCCCATGTCGTCCACGAGTGGCGCCCAGCACGGCTCCAAGAGCGCCCCAAGAGGCGCCGAGTAAGTTGCACCCTCATGCAAATAGTTTTTGTCACTTGTGGGGGTCCTCTTGGGGCCCTCTTGGAGCATTCTTGGGGCCCTCTGGGAGCGTTCTTGGGGCCTTCCCGGGGCCCCAGTGGGCCCTCGGAGGGCCCCAAGAACGTTCCCCGAGGGCCCCAAGAGGGACCCCCCAAAGTGGTACAAAGAATTCGCGCGAACGTGCAATCTGTTGTAGGCCTTTCGGGGCCCTCTGGGAGCTCTCTTGGGGCCCCCATTGGTGGCGCCTTGGGGCCTTGGGATGGCTCCAAGAGGCTTCGGGATTGCCCCAGACCGCCACAAGACAGCTCCGAGACGGCCGTCGAGCACCACGGGTGAAAGCAAGTGAGGCTAGGGAACAGGGCCTCTGGTAAGCCGCCACTGCGCCCCCTGGACTACCCAGACAGCGAGGGGACCTGAAACGCCCTGGGGCTCCAGGGGCCCCAGATTAGTGAAGTGAAGGTTTTTGCCATGCAAGCACCCCGAAATTCTTCACTTCACTAAACCGGACCCAGGACGAACTCGCTACGCTCCAGTCCCGCGGGAGATCCAAGACTCCCGCCGCCGCCCGGGGACGTTGCTGCATTGCGGTGCTCTGGTCACTGTTAATGGCTTCCGCGGGCTGCAGCGGCTCACTTCCATGACTACCCCGACTCACGAATCCAGTGGTTGGTCTGGCTCTATGGGTTGGTTTCGTTGTGTCGGTTGATTTTATGCTTGGTTGGCGGTCGGTGGATTTCGCGTTGTTCATTGGTGTCGTGAAGTGATTTGTCGTTTGGTTGGTCAGTGCCGTTTTGTTGATTCGTGCCGTTTTGTTGGTTGGTGTCGTTTCGTTGGTTGGTGTCGTTTTGTTGCTTGGTGTCGTTTTGTTGCTTGGTGTCCTTTTGTTGGCCGGTGTCGATTTGTTGGTTTGTTGGTTGGTGTCGGTTTGTTGGTTGGTGTCGTTTTGTTGCTTGGCGTCGTCCTGGCGGCGTGGCCGATAATCGGCGGCCTGCAATGGCGCCAGGATTTGTTTCGGGCCAGCCTTGATCGCCCTCATCATTCTCATATTCGTCAGCGTCAGCACTCGTCGCCCCCATCCGCGCACACATGCGGCCCTGGTACGGCTCTCACGCGGCCCTGCGAAGGCCTTCACTGTGCTCCCCAAAGCTTTCTGAGGGGCCCCCCAGAGGCCCCAAGAGGGCACTGGAAATTGTCGCTTCCAACTCCGCCAGGCGGAGGTCAACAAGGGTCTCACTGGTGCACTTCCAGGAATCGTCGTTCGATCCTCTTGGGGCCCTCCTGGGGCCTTCTGGAGCCGTCTTGGAAGCTCCGAGCGGCTCCATGAAGGCGCCGGGCGATATCGCTTCCAATTCCGCCAGGTGGAGTTAGACCAGGGGCTCACTGAGGCCCCTTTTTGCGCCCTCCTCTGCCTTTGAAAAAGCCCCGATGGGGTTCTTCAGTGCCGTCTTAGGGCCCCTAAGAGGCCTCCAGTAGGGTATTGAAGTTATCGCTTCCAACTCCGCCACGCGGAGTTGAACCCAGGGCGGCTTTCTATGGCCCTTTCGGGGCCTTCTGAGAGCTTTTCTGAGGCCCTAAGTGGGCCCTGGGAGGTGTCATTTTCACGGGCGTTGAAAGTGACTCCGCGGAGGGCCCTCTTGGGCCCTTCTTGGGACCTCTCTTGGGTCCCTCTGGGAGCCCTCTTGGTGCCGCCCTGGGGCCTTCTCGGGGCCTTCTTGGAGCCTTTCTGGTGCTCTTTAAGTGGGCCCTGGGAGGTGTCACTTTCACGGGCGCTGAAAGTGACACATCGAAGGGCCCGCTTTCCCTCGTAGCGCTGCCCGTGGCCGGGGCATTGTGCAGCGCATCCCTCGTCGAACGTATTTTGTCGGACGCGTGGTCGAATTCCGCCAGTTCGGTCGAGATGGTGGTCAAGCGGTTCGGTTGCAATGTAGCCATGCGGATCTGAGCTTACCA